TTCGTAGCCATGCAGGATAATGTTCTTGCACCCTCTTGGACAAAACTCGAGTCGAACGACCGATATACCTAGCTCCACAAGAGCAGGTGAATTGATAAACGCACATAGAGTTGGTCAACATTGGGATCTTGTCCTTCAGGTTATTGAACAATAATGGTCGGCTAGTAAAAGCTATTCTCAGAGAGGCAGCAGGGAATGTTCTTTTCAGGGACTGTGATATCCTTCGTTTCATGATATCGGAAGCTAAGTCCCCTTTGAATTCTAAGCTCATGTAAAGTATTTTCTTGGGAGCGGTTGATAAGTCACGTTTTGTAGGCTTTGAATGTATATTCTTATCTATAAAACGTGGTGGAAATCCATTTTCCATTAGGATTTTCCTCAAAGTGTATAACTCATCTTCCACAGTATCAGTGCTACATATGCGCCGAATACGAGTGGCAAGCGACCGGACCAGGTTTCGTTTTCGACCAATAGGTACCCAGCTATAGAAATTTGTCAGTTGACCATTCCATAACAGCCTACGATAAATCGATCTCTTCAGAGTTCCATCGGTCCTTCTTGATAAGTTCACATCGAGGAAATGAATGCTAGACTCGTTCTCCATTTCGAGTGTGAATTTTATCGCAGGATGGCACTCATTAAATACACTTAATATATTATTCAGGTTACAATCAATATTACAAATAATAAAGGTGTCATCTACATACCTTTTATATATTTGAAAGCTTTGGATCATAGGCTTCAGGGAACCATTTTCTAGACTGGACATAAAAACGTCTGCAAGGAGAGGACCCAAGGGAGAACCCATCGCAATACCATCCTTCTGCCTGTAGACTGTTTCATTGAAAGTAAACTGTACATTCAATGTACATCTCAAAAGTAGTTCTTTAAGATCTGTAGTAGGTATCCCTATGTTCAATTTGTTGTCTTCAATATATTTGCATATAAAACATATGGTCTCTGTCAGTGGAACGTTCGTAAATAAGGATTCTACATCCAAAGACAACATTTGTTTATTCGACGCATTTATATCCTGTATACATTCAACAAATTGGAAGGTGTCCCGAAGGGAATAATTAGATAGTTGCCCCCTGACTGGTTCGAGGATTTCAGCTAACCACCCAGCTACTGGATGATAGGGCGATCCAGACATATCCAAGATAGGGCGAAGTGGAACTCCAGCTTTGTGTATTTTCGGTAGACCATACAGTCTTGGTATTAGAGATCCTGTTGGTCTGATCTTTTCGTATAATTCCTCACGAATGAGATGGTTGTTCTTCATTCTCTTTAAAGTATCGGTAAGTTGTTTCTCAATTAATTTCGTCTTGTTTTTCTCGTTCGGTTTCGAGAATTTACTGCTGTCTGAAAGTAGACATGACATTTTATCGATATAATCTTTGCGATCCATAATAACAACACCTGTACCCTTGTCAGGGCGTGTTAATAGTATATCGCTGTTATGCGTCAAAAGTGTAAGTTCTTCTTTGTGCTGTTTAGTAAGAAGACTTTGCATTTTTGGTCTAGCATTAAGGTATTGATTGCAGGAGTCCGTAATGGTAGATTTGAAGCATTGGAAATCCTGGTCTGACGATGGTGTGAGATCATAGGTTTGACTGAGTAAATTCTCAAACTGGACATGAGTATGTAGCTTGTTGATATTGAGATTAACATCGCAAAACTTCGAGCCCATAGACAAGGCTTCCATTTGTAATTTCGATAAAGATATAGAGGAGTGGTTGAACACGTATCTCTCAGAATTCTCAGGAAATTTTCGAAGACATTCGATAGGTTTTAGGCTATTAGATAGCTTTGAATTAAAAGACATAGTTTGTTTGTTGGTGGCCACATTGGCATAATCATTAAACGTCTGACGTTCATCAGCCGATAAGTCATATAGAGCAGAAGATCTTTGTGATATACTCCTTTCTAGCTCAGGGATACGTGAACTGATAGAATCAATGTGATTTAATGCGTGTCTCTTGAGAGATTTTGCATTAGGATATATGTGATTGCGTCGGAGCACTTTCCAATACCATTTCGGATACTTATGATTATTGATGCATTCATTAAGAAAACAAATCTCTGCATTCACCACGGTAAGTTTGACAGAATAACGCAGGAACCCGTTGAGTTCCTTTACTATCGAGGGATCTTTCCTATTTTTTAACTCATGGAAAATTCCCATTGTAACATTAAGAAAATCAAAACAAGTGATTCAGCGAAGAGACTCTTTTCAACGAATTTATCATCAAGCTGTACGGTCGTATATATGTGGTTTATCAGAAGTTATACCCGGTGAGGGAATTGAATCTTAGGTGTGAATGCACAAAATAATAATAATAATAATCATATGAAGTTCAATTAAAACTAAAATGTTTGTGATTATAATCGTAGTTAAATGTCAAGTGGCAAAGCAGATTAATGTCATATATAGAATAATTCATAGGAGGGATATAACTTGAAAAAGGATGTGCAATTATAGGATTAGTAGGCAAATCGAATAAAACAAAAGACGTGTTTCTCATTTGCCAACACACGTCATTACTTGGGTAGGCACAATGTCTAGCTTTCCACTAAAGAACGTATGTGCTATCGTGTAGTTTGCTTTGTCTTCCTATTAGGCTTTGAGATTTAACCGTACACTCCGATTATTGTTACTTCGCATTTTTTCTTCTCTCTGACTTGGACTACTGTACTTTTGTGCCGAATTCTACGCTAATAACTCATTCAGTTGACTGATATATTGCAGTTTGAAACCGTCCTGTCAACTTGGATCTAGGTAATCGGTGAAAAGGACGTGAATGGAGTACGTGTTCGTACTCAAAGCAATTAGTCTTTCATCACTGATGTTGGAAATATAGGTTGTTTTAAGGGTTAGAGGTGGTTTGCGATAACCTGACTGTTTTATTTTCAAGTTGTGACCTAATTGGCCACGTGTTTGTTCTCCATAAGTCGCCTAAGCACTGTCACATGTACGGCACTATGCTTGGGCAAGTAAATAATCATATATAGTTCTCATATGTCTATGAATATCCAGATTCCATGAAAATTACATCATCCCGACGAGTTTAGCCCCAGCTTCAACAGTATTCCTCGACATGTTTGACTACTTTCTATGAATGTTTCGAGAAAAAGTTGACACATCCAGGCGTTTCGGTTTGAGGAACTTTGTCCTCCATGTAATTATGAAATTTAGTTTTAGTAAACAATATATATATATATATTTCATGGCGGCATATCGCTATCACACCACAAAATGACACAAGGTTGACATTCTGTGAAATACTTGTCAGAAGAAAACAACAAGAACTAAAAATCGCAGACTGAATAGAATGTTGAAGTTATGAAAAGCAGTAAAACTGTGGTCTCACGTACAGAGTACTAGGATTTATTCTTCGTAAACAAAGTACTTATTTCCTTTTCCCAACCAAACGTTAAACTAGGAAGTGGTATGACCACCCTTTTAAACCACGTTTGAATAATCGAAACTAAAGCTTCAACTGGAAAACACTAATAATAATGTCGACTTGTTTGAGTGCGGCACTAAACTTCAAAATTAAATAGATGGGTAGAGTCGTAATTGTTACTAGTTGCGATCAAGCCTTAGGAGGTGATCGAATACCTAGCTACGTTTTACTGAAGTAGCTCGAAAACTGGCTTCATCGAAGCCATTTTACGTTCACCTTTTGATGTTCAAATTAACGTCCCGCTCTCGCTAAAAGTGGATGACATCCTCGTCTTTTATCTGTTATATTGTCAACAGTGTTCAGACATCTAACCAGCCCTTGTAGTTTAACAGTGGATAGCGCATATTTTACTTACAGCTAGGAATCGCTAACCAGTGAATCGTGATCTGAGCATCCTTTATCACTCAATAAAATGATGTCATTTACATATTCAAGGTTGCAGAGTCTTTTCTCGAGTATTAGATGTATACCATCATGGCCACCAGCATTACCAATGTTCATCTCTTTCTAATCTGCCTGTGGAATTTTGTCGAAATCAAGGAAGTGCGAATAACTGATTTGAATTACTGCAAAGCCTAGTGTCTATAAATCCATAACCACCACCGATTTTAGATCCCTGAAGATATATCTCTTCGACCCTAGTGACTACTGATGCCATTCAGAGAGTAAAAATCGACCGTGTCGCTATAAATTGCCGTCACTAAGTGTAAGCAGAGGTTATGTCCTAGTTCAGTAATGGCTACCTTAAAGATTTTCGTTAGATTGGATCAAAAGTGATTAAAAAATGGGACTGCATTTAAGAAGTCATTTCGAATTGTAACTGGTCGCGACTGAATTATCCTACTCAAGGAAGTCTACTCTTAGTTCAATCACTGGTATTGCTGTGAACAATCGAGTGACATATAGAAAAATATTGTAGATATATAGCATATACTCCATCACATTCCAAGACATTCAGCGCTTAGCGAAAATCATAAATAATATGCATGTAGACGTGTAGGGATCATGCGATGACTACAAGCAACGGTAGACAGAAAAAGCTTCAGTTATGAAAATAACGTATGCAGTGCAGTAGAAAGGAAGTGTAATGCTAGCAGTCAAAGATGAGTGAACTAGGTGAAGAAAACCCAATCCCTTGTGATTGTGCCACTTTTAGTAATTCCGAGCTATATATTAAAACAATAATCACGCCTTAACTTAATGTAGGTTTCCTAGTTGCGGTTTTTAGGATGCTAAGAATCAATCGCTGGAAACTGTTGGTGATATTGCTCAAAGTCGTTCACACTACCGCATGTGTATTCACTTTTTCTAATCACCGAAACTCTTAACTTCACTAATCTTCGGTAAATTCTAAACTCCTTCCTACCTAAGTTTCTCCATCGCAGTGTCATTGCATCTTCATTGTTCTTCTTTATCGTATGTTTTTTTAAGTTTAAAAGCTTAAAGGGATGCAATACTGTTTTGATAAATCTGTTGTTCAGCGAGGCTTTAAGAATATTATTGCTTCTGAAATTCTTGGTATTGTGTTTTCAGGTTTCAATGCTGGTCTTGCTGCATATTCCACTTGGCCTGCGTCGCTGTCAGCTATTGCCGTAAGTTTCACAATAAGACTTTTCCCTTTTATCTGCATTAAGTTTCTTATATATATATGGAAACCAAAAGTGGGACGCAAATTTATTGGAACATTTGTCACTCCATCGGTTTATCCCAGAATTACATTTATGAATACATGAGCAATATACGATGATGTTCCTTAGTGAAGGATAAAACTAGGTATAAAGCTCCAAATTCTACTTATGTTGACTCCGTTATTTAGTAGTCTCTCACCTAATTCATATTCTTCCACAGCGACCTGTCTATATCTGAATCAAGTTATTATTATTGTTCCTTTGGGTTCCCAGTGGAACATAGGGCTTCAACTGCACGTCTGCACTTGCTTCTGTCTTCTGCTGTACTTTTCACCTCCATCCATATTAGTCCATACTCTTTCAACTCCTCTTCACACGATCTCCATGTCACCCCACTCGAGCAATGACCTGACGCGCGCGCGATGTCACCCGGCGGCCTCCTCAGCCACGGGTGTCCAATCCATCTCCACTTTCTCCTGCATATTTGTTGGACGATTACTTTGTTCTAGCTTTGTTCGTTCCAATAGTTTCTTCTTGGTGATTCCTTCAGGGCCGGCCATCTGATCTACAGTATAGAGCGAAGACAGTTGTTAATAAAGGTCTCCAATAGCCTATTGAAAATATTCTTTGTGACCCACCCGCCAAGTTTCTGATCCGTATAGAAGAAGTGACTTGACGTTTGTATTGAAAATCCTACCGGATTTTGTTGTTGATGCTGAGTGACGAAGATTTCCAGATTGATTTCAGGCTGATGAATGTGTTTCTCGCCTTCCCTATTCGATTCTCGATTTCACATCCTCGTCCGTTCCGTCTGCTTGTAGTTGGGACAATGCTCCCTAGATAAGTGAATGAAGTAACCTCTTTCAAATCCCTCCCGTTGATGGTGATTGGCGCTGGATGTTGTTGTGTGTTGGTTATTTTCATAACCTCCGTTTTGTCTATGTTCACCTGTCTTCGCCGGCTGCTTCTTCCACCAGTTTGTCGGTTTTCGCTTGTAAGTCTTCGATTTTGTGTGACATCAAACATAAATCATCCACGCGCGAAATCCAGGTCTTCTAGGTTCTTCACATCGGTCGGTCCAGGATATCCCTCCCTGTCTTCTCGTTTCCCACTCACTGTCTGACGCATAATCCAGTCAGTCCACCACAATTAGGAATATCATTCACTGGTGATAATAAGCGAGAACCCTTGTCTGACTCCTGTGTTTACTCCAAACGCCTCTCTGAGTTTCCCGTTGTGGATCACCTGACATGATCCGTCGTCGTACAGCTGTTGAGTAAGGTTGATGAATATTTGGGGTACGCCGTACTACTCGAGTAGTTTCCAAATTACTTCGCGGTCAACGATGCACTGTCGAAGGCCTTCTCAAAGTCTATAAAGTTGAGGTAGAGGTTTGATTGCCATTCCATGCTTTGTTCGATGGTGATGCGTAGAGTTGCAATTTGGTCAGTACATGATTTGCCTTTCCTGAATCCAACTTGTTCTGGTCGGAGTTCTGTCTCCAGTGCGTCCTTTATTCTCTCCAGGATGATGCGACTCAGGATTTTACTTGGCGTCGATAGGAGCATGATTCCTCGCCAGTTCTTGCAGAGTGAGACGTAAGTCGCCGTTCTTTGGTAGTTTCACAAGGTAACCTTTCCTCCAGTCAGTAGGCACCTTTCCTTCCTTTCACACCTTTTGCAACAATGGAGTCAGCAGCTTCAGGGGGTATTCCATCTTGTCCAGCTGCTTTTCCAGCTTTCAGAAGCTTGATTGCATTCAAGACTTCAGCTCTCGTTGGAGGATTGGTGTCAACTTGCAGTTGTGTGCTCGCTGTTGTTGGTATTTCTGGACGGGTTGCAGGTGATGGTCGGTTCAAGAGTCTTTTGAAGTGATCCGCCCATTGTTTAATCTGTCTTTCTTCCTTGGTAATTGGGTTCCATTGGTTGTCTTTTATAGGTTTCACTTGTGTTGGTCTCTTCCCGAATAGAGACTTGGTTATCTGATATAATGTCTTCAGGTCCTTTTTGCCTGCTGCCTTCTCAGCTTCAGTGGCCAGGTTGTCGTAGAACCGTCTTTTGTCCTTCCTAGCACTCTTCTTCACTTCTTTGTCCAGTGCTGTGTAAGTTGAGCTCAGCGTCTCCTTCTCCTGTCCTTCCTTGCATTAAATCATTTTCTCTTTCACCATTTTCCTCTCTTCTATTCGCTTCCAAGTGTCCGTTGAGAGCCATTCTTTGTCTTGTCTCTTCTTTCTTCCTAGAACCGTTGAACACGTTTCGTTGAGAATCGCCTTCAGAGACATTCAATGTTCTTCCACGCATGATTCTTCAGTGCTGTCGCGTAGTGTTTCCTGCTTCGCTCTGACAGTTGCAGTGAAAGTGTCTTTTGTGGTTGTGTCCTTCAGTAATTGAGGAGTGTTGAACTTGCAATGTGGCCTATCCCCAGCTATCCTCGAGGCTTTTAGCTTCACCTTGAAAGTCCCTTGTACTAGATAGTGGTCTGAACCCACATATGGTCCTCTCCTCGACCTTGTGCCCAGTAGACTTCGTCTCCACTTTCTTGAAATTGAAATGAAGTCTCTCTGGTTCTTGGTGTTTCCACCTGGTGAAATCCATGTCGTCTTGTGTATATCCTTGTGTTTGAACACACTACCGCCAATCACCAAATCATTGAAGGCGCAGAAGTCTGAGAAGAGTTCACCATTGTCGTTTCTTTCACCGAGGGCCTCACGACTCCTGGTGAGTTCTCTTCCTGTTTTGTCTCCTCCCAGCTTCGCATTCATGTCGCACATCAGGATTCTGATATCGCCATTTGGGACGTTGTCCATTACTGTTTGTAGTTATCTGTAGAACGCCTCCTTCTTCTCTTGCTCTGAGACGTTTGTAGGCGATTAGCATTGGATGATTGTAACCTTCCTTCCTTTTGAGTTGAACCTGGCTGTCATTATCCTGGAGGTGATCGGTTCCCACTGCATGAGAGCTTTGGATGCTGTTGGTGGCATCATGATGGCCACTCCCTCGGTGTGCTCGTGGTTGTCCTCTGGGTGGCCGGAGAAGATTATTGTCTCTCCAGTTGGTAGTTGGCACCTTCCAGTTCCGTTCCATCTGCTTTCGCAGATTCCCAACACTTCTATTCTGTACCTTCACATCTCAGGGGCTATCTGGGCAGCCGTTCCAGTTTCGTATATTGTACGAACATTCCAGGTACCCATCCTTACTTTTGCTTTCATTGAAAAAAAGAAGGTACATCGGCTGACTGGCTTCCCGAAGGCCTTCAACAGCCTGCGTCATTTCACTTCTCCGATTCCAGTGAAAAATAAGGTTATTCATAGGAAATATAACTTTATAAATAAGGTTATTGTTTATATTTTTAGAATTTTTAATATATTTGTGCATTTGAAGTTTCTATAGCGGTTTGGTTAGGTTTTGGGGGTGGAGTTGCTAGCACCACGCCCCAACCCTCCCTCTTTATCCGGGTTTGGGACCGGCTAGAAAATTAGCGAGCTAGTAATCTAGGCGAGGTTGAATGAAGTAATACTCCATGATAAATATATTTACCTGTGTTTGTATTTTCTTGATATTTCATTAACTTTGATTTTTCAGGAAATGGGTGTACCAGCCTTCTTCACAGACTCATGTCTTTATAGTTCATTGTGGGGATTTCAAGTGACAAGTTCTTTGGGTTTAGGACCTAGTCAACCAGATTCTATCGTTGGAGATGATTATAAGCCTGGTAATGTGGAAAATCAATCATGCATTACTATGAATCCATTTCGAAGTCCTATTCGTATCGAAGCTCCTGGTGTACGATGGGGTTGGTTTTCAAATGCTTTTATATTCTCGCCTTTTTATCCTATGGATTATTTACGACAGCGATCTGATTTACCACTGCGAATGGCTTCAATGAATGTGTAGATAGTCTTCTATTTTATTTTCAGTGATTGATTTCGCCATATTCTTTAATTTACTTCCTGAACTTCACTGGTCAGCATTATAGTGTTTCCTTTACAACTTATAATGTGTTACACTGACTTAGTTACAGCATTTTGAGAGAACGGGTTTTCTCTTAAGAATGCATATGATTTGACTATTTTAATGCTTTTGTTCAAATTCTGTCTTACGTTTTCTGTAATTTCATTTTGATTCCGAAATAAATTATATTTTGTTTTTTCTTAGTTGTGTATATCATTCTTCCGTTTACTCAATTACCCCAGAATACGAAGTGGTGTAGGGAGAGAAAGAGGGAGAGACTTAAGTTAAAGAAATCTTAGAGAGATAACCAGTTAATAATAATAGTTTCAGGATTTCATCATGAACTGACATCAGTTAGAGAATCACTGGAAAACGCGGGAGTACTGGACAGCTGTTTCATCCCAGTTTGAGAGTCTTTATCAGTACGCACCCACCGCCAAGGTTTGAACGCAGAACCTTCCGAAATGATAGAAGTTGGAATTCGTGGGCCATTGGGTCGAGTCACGGTGGCTTGATGGTCTAGGAGCTCGCCTCGTAACCGGAAGGTCTTGTGCTCGAACCCTGGTGAGTGCTCACCGCCGAAAGTCCAGAACCAGGACAAAGATCTGTTCAGCACTCTCAGCTGGCTTTCCATTGGTTTTCTAACCGATGTTAGTTCGTTATCAATCTTGTAATCAATCACGTCCCTCCAAACCAAAACTTGATAATTAATATTTTATAGCTTCTTTTGCAAAACTTTGTAAATCATGCTGCATTTTCGGTAGATTTAGGTTAGAATTCATGAGCCATTGAATTGGCTCCCAGTAGCTGAATGATGTAGGAGCTTGCCTTGTAACCGGAAGCTCCTGGGTCCAAACTCCGGTGGGTGCGTACTACCAATGATTCCCAAACTAGGATGAAACAGCTGTCCAGTGCTCCCTGGTTTTCAATGGTACTCTAACTGATATCAATCCGTGATCAACTCGTAAAAACAAAACTAATCCTTACAAACCAACTGTAGAAGATTATCAACTTGTTCATGGTTGTTAAATCTTGCATAGAAAACTATGAAAAGTTATTTAGCAGTTAGAATTTATTGTTTACTGTACCTGTGTTTAAAGTCTGCACATTTGGATTACTAAATCACTTTTTGTTTCATCCAAGTTCCTTATGCCTAGTGACTGACTTGTTTTAAAACGGAACTTTTCAGAGAAGTACAGCAGTTGGAGTTGCCAGTCCTCCCTCCATATACCGCACACAAAGCAAAAGAAGAAAGTAGCTAGAGGTTTAAAAGAAAGAAAGATAACAAACAGAAGTGTGAGTGACAGAAAAAGAATACTAATATGGTTGAAGAACAATAGAGTACTTTGATTCGATATGACAAATCACAAAGAGTGAATGCATCTGCACCATCATCGAGAATGACGATTTTGAGACATGCAACCACCACTTGTCTTCAGTCTTTGTTGGTCCTTACAATCCATCTTAAGGACCCCAAGCTGTCAGCCAACCAGCCAGTGTGCACATCCCTACCTGGGTGATTGACTGGCTAGCTGACTCAAACTAACTGTTGTTATGGATTTCATTGATTGATGAAGCTATGTTTTCGTGTGAGCACCACTAGCTCATTTCCAACCTGATGCATCCCATGTCGGCTAAGGTAAAATCGCCTGTCAGTCGAGGAAGGCATGAATGCATAATATAAGTTGTAAGCATTTCACTCAGTCGATTTAACTGCTTCACAACCTCGACGGCTTATGTCCTCTACTCCTTCCTTAGTAGTCGACCGATGCGTAACCTCAGTATTACTCCTTATATGGATGTAGACAGAACTCAGACACGTATGGACCTTTCTTGTCTTCAACTCTTAACAATGACCATGTCTCGCTCACAGCCAGTGATATATGAGGATGGAGCGAATTGTTGAGGAACATACATGTCTTTTGATCGTCAGCCGGATATGGCGTAGCTTATTGGCAAGTGTCAAACTATCCTTTTGTATCCGTGCTGAGATTTCTTCAGTGATCTCACCTACATAGTGAGATGTAGACAGCGCATTTGGGCAGGCACTGTCCTCCTCAGTACTCGATTTTAACCTATTCTATATTTCGCTCTCAGTTGTTGGTTTGATAAGATACTATGAATAATCGGAATGATTATATAAGTCGAATTATATATATATATCAGTCCGCTCCGTCCTCCTTTATGGTTGTGAGACCTGGCCACTGAGAGTGGAAGACATGAAAAGACTAGCTGTCTTTGATCATAGGTGCCTGCGTTCTATTTCCCGTGTAAAGTGGCATAATAAGGTGAGCAACATGGAGGTTAGGCGTAGAGTTCTAGGTAAACAGGGGAAATCAATCGACGAAGTCGTGAAGCTACATCGACTGAGATGGTTAGGACATGTGTTACGTATGCCAAGTCATCGCCTCCCTCGACGAGCTATGTTAGCGGATATAGGGTCAGGCTGGAAAAAAACTAGCGGCGGTCAAACAAAAACTTGGCATCAGTCAATGAAATCCACAACAGTTGGTCTTAGCCACGTAGGAAGGTGTAGACTTCCAGGCTGGGGTCCTCGGGACGGCAAAAATCTATGGTTGGAAACAATTGGTGACATGGCTCAAAATCGTTTTCAGTGGCGCAGATGCATCCACTCCCTGTGACTTATGATCTTCAATTAAATTGTTTTGTATTTCTTTATTACCCCTTTGTCTCACACCTCTGCTCACTGTTTCTATTATGCTTTTCTTGTACTTTCTTCTCTTGCTTCGCGTGCTACACGGAATGTGGCGACTTGAACTTCCGCACATTTGTGCAAAGTTCTATGTCGAAAACAGACAGACAGACATATAAGTCGAAGGTCAGTAATGTACTAAGCGCCACTGTAAGTTATGAATGATGACGTTATGAAAGGTATCACGTTCTCCATCCCTTTTGGAGTCATTTGATTAATAGTAAAGTAATGTTTTGTTACTACAGCAGTTGTTGGGTGTTCATTGAATGAACAGACTATGGCGCATTGATTCTCAATGGAATACGTTATATCACATGTGTACAAGATAAATGCAACATATCCACAAAGGAATGGGCTATACGAAATAATATAACGTTTAAAGGACACTAGTGCGTCATTAATTCAGAGATAGATTACTCGCCAATGTGCGTACATGGGCCAAGGTTTGATGGCCAGACAGAACACTTCCTAACCTTGCTTAGCAAGTATTTATCCTGGTGAAGGTAGAAGCTACCAACTCCACCCCGTTAAGAAACACATCTGTTACTGAAACTTCAATAATAACAGATATACTATTACCTTTGATATTTGGTTTGAACGATCTTCTTTGTTATTTTGACTTTCAATATGTCCTTTTCAGTTGAACTAAGTCTAAATTTTTTTATCACCCCCTAACTCTTTGTTATATATGTGCTGAAGCTTTGTAAATTCCGGTTTAATAAAACTTTGAGAAGCTACTAGCATTAAATAGCAAAACGTCAGTAAAAACAATATCGTTTTGTTTTTCATTCATTGAGAAATACAAAAACCTTTATTATAATGAATATCATATACCCAATGCCCAAATTTTTTCAAACCGTTAAAAGTGAACTTGTTTTGGACATATATGAAACTTCAAAGCTTGAGTTTGCAGCCCTGTACTCCTCAATTTGGAGCACAGAAGAGTGAAATAGTTGACAGTTCGAGATTCACCTGGAAGCTAGCGTACCACCACTTCCGTGTCACTTCTCCATTATAGAAGATTGAAGAGACTTCAGTAAGATTTTCTGTATCTTCATTCCAGTTTTATATCTTGTAGACAGACAGCTATTGAAATGACGTGTTAAATAATTAATATGAGCTAGAAAATTCACTAATTTAAGCAGTATAAATTGAAACCAACTAACCTGTTACACGTCGATGAAAACCGTCTCGTACTTCGCTTGTTGGTCGCTGATTTCGGTCTAGGGTACATTCATATGTGTACACAGATTATATATAAGGTCCATTCGTCGTGCCTTCCTAGACTATACATCTGCTTTTGACTCGGTTCCTAGGGACATCTTATTAAATGAACTTGCTGCAAGCTAAATAGAATGTTGGGCTGTTAACGGGTTACATTCCTATTTCTCAGGAAGAAAGCAGTACACCGTGTATAAAGGGAAGTCGTCCACTTCATTGCCTTCTGAAGCTGGTGTCCGTCAAGGCGCTGTTCTTTCTCCTTTTCTTCCCTCTTGCATGACTTGCCTCACTCTGATGAAATAAACTTTGTGAAGTACGCTGATGATTTAACAGTTTCAATGGCTGTAAACTCCCAGTTAGATTGTACCAAAATAAATAGCTTTCTGTCGGGAGTCAGTAAATGGTCTGAGTCTAACGGTCTTAAAATGAATCCTAGATTGTACAGCTTGAGAATGATTTCGCCGAAGATATAGACTCGTCAATCTGAAGTCAATGTTAACATTCACGACAATTCGTGAAATGAACAACATTCAGATTTATAACAGCAATGTCATGTCAGTACTTATATATAAATATATATGATTCTTAGATGTGGTATGTCTGCCACGAAAGTTATTTGCAACATGCTGAAGGCTTCCTCCTACAACAAACAGCCTCACCCCGATATTGAAGATGAAATACTTGCAATGTGTTGGCAACTAGAGTAATGACAGAAGGCAAGGGTCAGGCAAGAGATCGTTTATCAAAGAGATCAACACATATTTATAGATTTTCATGTACATTGTTATAGATTAATATTAGCAGAAAAACACAGTCTTCTAATTGGTTGTTTCTCACTGAAAGGTAATCTTTCATCTCTTTGTGGCTGTTTCTTGAATTTCAGATCATCTATATGCTAACTTTATCCGCCTACGCAAAGCTTTCGTCCTCATTTGTCTCACGACCAATATTTGGGACATAAACACTGACGTAAATTACTGTCCACCAATTTTGACCAACAGCCAGCTCTTACCACACTAGGAACGGTTTACTGACACTCTGAACAGAGTTCAACTTAAAGCACAAGAAGAGGAAACACCATTTACACATGTTATTTCACACAACTCCAAATAAACATTCAGTAAATAGTCTTTTATCTAAACAACACAGAGAAGCTCTAAGAGAACTTAGAAGCAGCGAAAATTTAATTATTAGCAAGCCGGATAAAGGTGATGGCATAGTTTTACTGGACAAAAGCGATTATGTTGAGAAAATGGAAGGTATTTTGAG